AAGAGGCTCTCTTGAAAGATACTTTTGAAAAAACCTCTCTTTCAAAAGAGAGCATCTAGACTACAACTAGTACTTTAGAAAAAGCAAGTTGCTTTTTCGAAAGAGAGCAGCCAGGCAGCCTGGATGCGCTCTTTCAAAAAAAGCACAATTCGCATTACTTAGCGCCTTTTTTCGAAAGAGCAGTTTAAAAAAAAAGGTGTTATTCCTCGTAAAACGAGGTTTTCCGCAGCCAAAAAACCTGCCGCATTTTCGATTTACTTTCGAAAGAATGCTGCAGCAGTCTAGACGCAGGGGAAGTTTTAGTCTAACCCTATAGTCTAGACACACCCATCATGACTAACCATAAAAAGAAGCAGTGGGCTTAAATTGCAGGAAGGGAGATTTAGGTTGGACATTAGGGAAAACTTCCTAACTATCAGGGTGGTTAAACACTGGAATAAGTTGCCTAGGGAGGTTGAGGAATCTCAATTTCTGGAGATATTGAAGAGCAGGTTAAACAGACATCTATTAGGGATGGTCTAGACCAGTGGTCCCCAACCTTTAGAGGCTGCCGGGCACCAGGGGGCGTGGCTGTTCACCTGCTGGGTGCCAGATGGCGGGGACACATGCATGCCCAGGGGGGCCCCCCCATAGCCGCGCGCTCAGGGCTGGGGGGGCCCCCCCCATAGCCGCGCGCTCGGGGCCGGCTCTGGCATAGCGCATGCACCATTTGCCCAGGGCCAGGCCAGCCCCGAGCACTTGGCAGGCGCACACAAATGGCCCCGCGGGTGCCATGGCGCCCGCGGGCACCGTGTTGGGGACCACTGGTCTAGACAATACTGGATCCTGAAGTGAGGGTAGGGGACTGGACTCGATGACCTCTCAAGGTCCCTTCCATTTATAGTATTCTATTCTATCAAACAATTTTGCACCTACAACTTGTGACTACAAATTGGTGCTAGCTACAGAATGTGGTCTCAAATACTAATAGTTAGAAGTCTAATATATTTCTACCTAGAATTCACTGCCAGCAAACAAAGAAAACTAATGCAATATTTTACTCACAAAACAAGCCAAAACCAATTAAAGTAAGGCCCTAAAACTATGGCAATCAGTGGATTTTGTAGTTTGCTAACATTATTATATATTGTGCAGGTTTTGCATGAGAAATAACAGCATTTATTAAAACATGCAACGAATATATGAAACATTTATTTTGAATAAGACCAGTAAAAAGGGCAGGGTCTGATAAGAATATAAATGTGAAATTTGCCACTATCATCTCAAAAAGAAAAAAGTATGAGGTTTACACACAATCCTATTAATAAGTTTTAAAAACCTTTCTGAAACCTTTTCTGATTGAAAGTAATTTGACTAGCAAATGAGTTAAATTAGTTGCCTGTACTTCACTAAGTATGAAAACCAAGCAAGCAAAAGAACAGAGTGAAAGGAGATTTCTTGAGGTCCATTAGTAATTAGAAAGCATTTCAAATTCAGTTATTCTCAAATGTATGTGAGAAGTCAACCCACCAGTCATCCTTCTATTGTTTTAGAATTCACCTCTGAATGCTACCCAGAAGACGGGATTTTTAAATCTAGATGGAAATCCCATATGTACTTGGTCTGACAGCTACAGTATTACAAAACAGAATTACTATTTTAAAGCCTCCGGCACTGGCAGACCTCTAATGTCAGCTATCTAAACCCCATACTGATAGCAATCATTGCAAGGTTAATCTCTGAGAATTAGGACAAGGAAGTTAGTTTTAATATGTCAATTTCAGCTAGGTTCCATCTGAATCTGTTATAGTCATTACTATCTTAAACCCAGTCATATAAAAAGATGTAGAGAAATTATTTCCAGTGAAAACACATTGAAAAAGTAAAAAGCCTCAAATATTTAACTTTTGGTATATGCACCTTAAAGAATGTGTGAAAATAAACATTTTGATAAATCATTTGAAGTGACACAGTAGAACAGGGGTGGGCAATAATTTTTGACTAGGGGCTAAGGTTGTTAAAATGCAGTTAATTGACTAGTCAACTAGTTGATGAAATTTCCATTGACTAGTCAATAGGCACTTGTCCATTTCAAAGGAGGAATGCAGGGGGAAGTCCCGCTGACTCCGGGCTGCATGCAGCATACCTGCTTTAAAATGCACAGTCTCCTGTTGACCCCCGGCTCCATGCTATACAGCATGCTGCTAGGAGCCCGGGGTAAGCTCAGGAGTCCTGGAACCTGGAGTCAGCTGGGGAGTCCACAGCTGACCCTAGGCTCCAGGGCAGCTGCCTCTTTGAAATGCATGGAGGCAGCATTCTAAAGGGACAGCCCACCGCACAGCTGATCCACAGAGGTGGCATTTCAAAGGGCAGCCCCAGCCCATTTTAAAGGGGCAGTGGAGCCCAGGCTCAGCTGGGGACTCCCCAGCTGACCCTGGGCTCCCTGCGGCATTTCCCCAGAACCCAGGATCAGCTGGAGAGTCCCCCGCTGACCCAGGATTCCTGGAAAGTGCTGTGCATAACCATGGTCAGCCAGGGAGTCCCCAGCTGAGCCCACACTCCACTGACCTTTTAAAATGGGCGGAGGCAGCAGTTTCAAAGGGGAAGCCACTGCACAGCTGATGGCCCTTTTGCCTACCCCTGCATTAGAAGCTCTGGTGCATGCTCTCTCTAACAGGGTGAAATATCCAGTCTCACGGATTAGCTGGGAAGCTCTGCTTAAACCAGGAAGAGTCAAAAGAAGTTGTCTGAGCAACTAGAGTAACCTTTGGTTGGATGCTATTGCAGACCCTACCTACTTGCCTGACTTCGGAGTCCTGCTCTCCTGCCCGTGCCTGGTTCCTGTCCTGCTTATCCTGGACTCCTGTCTATTCCTGAGTCCAGTTTTTCTGTCACACTCCAGGTCCCTGTTCTTATGCCCCATCCTTACTGCTACTGCAACCCCTGCCTTGGTATCTAACTATGTTTCCACTTCTGACCTCTGGCATGGCACTTGACTGATCACAGCTCTGGTTCCAGGCACCTGAAACTAGTAAACATGCCCACCCACACCCCAGACCTTACAGCTTGCTTGGACCACTATCAGCTTCTGAGTAAGGCCAGCAAAAGTTGGACCCCATGGAATTTGCCATACCCTGTATGTGCAGGTGACCGGCCTTCAGGCATTGTAACTGAGCATTGCAAGTGCAGAATCCAATGCTGGCCACTGAGAAATGTGTGTTGCAGGAGCAGGATCATTAGCTTCACACAGAAAACACGATGAATCCCATCTGGCTGTGCTGCCATCTCAGTTGGCACCTGCTACCCCCCTCTGCCAAAGACTTCTGATGGGCACCACTCAAAAATGTGAAGCTTCATGAAACAGTGCCTGCTCTTGTTCTTACTTCAACCACGAAGATATGCTCCTGGTTATACCAAGGTAGACTTTGTAGTCAGCCTACTGACAGGGGAGATATTTAACTGGGCCTCTCTCTCGTTGGAAGCCAACTGTCCAGTTCTATCTACTTGGAATGCCATCCAGGGGACAATATCCTCCTTTTTCCAATTACACAACCACACCCCTCTACTAAAGCCACCCTACGCAAACTTCACAGGGGGTCAGACATGGATATCTTCTATGTAGCTCACTTCCAGTTATGTCCGTTTTGATGGAATTTGCAGAATGAGGCTAAGCATGAACTTGCCCGAGTTGAAACTGTAACAGGTCTGATAGACATCTTCACAGATCTTGTAATGCACATTTGACTATCACTGCCAATGACCAGGGGGGAGGGGGAAGAGGAGCATTGAAACTGCACCTCATGCTATCAGATTCTGCCCCACCAGTTGAGCCAATGCAGACAGATCCAACCCACCAGCAACTTGCCCCTGAAGAGCGTGTGTGCGCTGGTGACAATTTAATCCGTGTTACTACTATGGTTAGCTGGCATACTATCTCCAGTTGCCCCATGAGGAACCCAGTCCAAAAGAATCTAGGACAGAGTCTAGGGTTGGTGAAAGGGCAATTGGGTTCTCTATTAGACAGTCCCCTTGAAACCTGATCTGAAGCTCCTGAGGGAACACTGCTGGCTCATGTTGATACCGTACTGTTCTTACAAGTACCAGTCAAATTATGAATCCTGGAGCCTCTCCTCCAACCATTCCCTCTGCAGCAGACTCTTAGGCCTTGTCTCCACTAATCTCCTCCCTCTCCAATCTAACTTACACAATTTTAGCTACTCAAATAGTGTAGTTGAACTGGTTTGAGTCAGGTGCCTAGGACCACAGCTGTGTGGTAAGGACAACGGGACTGCTCTCCTGTTCACACTGGCTACTCTTTTCTTAATGGTGAGTATCAGAATTGCCACGAGAGCAGTTAGAGATCGATGTATCACATTTAAGCAGACACAAATTGCTACAGCATTGGTCCACCACATAGTGAAGACAAGCCCTTATTGACTGACATGCAACAAATAGTTTTACTAATGCAGAAACCACCTGGGCACTACTTATTTCCCTATGACCCAAGCCCATTGCAGACCTGACACAGACTATCAACAAGCCACTTTTATCCTCCAGGCCAGTGGCCATGGAAACTATTCCTCTCCTAGTTAATATCCAAGGGCATCAAGTGACCTTTGGAGTCAGTGCACTTACTTAGGAACCTGCCCCTGATTTGCAACTCTATTGACTCTAGTCCTCCCTCTGATCAATGAAGTGGCTACATCACTAAGTGACAGTGCAGGCTTTTCCACATGGGCCACACCACTATTATGAATGGATCCTTGCTAGATGTGAGGGGGTAGTTGGTCTCTATGTTCATTCAAACAACAGGCAACTGGATGACACCACTGAAAAAGTAACCAATCAGTTCCAGTTATGGTGGTGGTTGTTTGTGTAGATATGACTCTCACCATAAAAGCCAGAATGCTAAGAGACCATAGTGAAGCAATATTTAGGAGACATAACTCTGACCAAACTGCTGCTTCAGAAAAAGAAATGAAATACTGGTGAACACGGATAATTAAATGCTATGTACTTACTGGCATCATCCATAAATTCAAATTCACCCCCTAATTCAGCACTTGATAAGTGGTACTGGTCAGGATCGGTCAGGGCACTCAGCAGGATCAGTAGTACCACTGAATTGATGATCTAGAGAGAGAAGAAAAGAAGACGTCAGGATATGTAATTTCTTAGTGAAAATACTGCAGAGTGGAATGTGTTAACCACTGCAAAGATGTGTTCCTACTGGGAAATGTATTTAATTGCCACTATATAAAACATTCTCCTCATCTGAATAGACTATACAGTTTTTCTTTGTACCAGAGGCCCAAATTACAGAATGACCCAAAACCCACTGAACCCCTTTTCCATACAAAGGAGCAAGTCACCCATGACAAGACCACTCCATCTACCTCACCAATACTGTTCTTCTGAATTATAAAGCGTGAACATCTATTTATAGTTCATTCGGTTCTAAGAATTTATTTTTAAAATCCTGAGATCTTTATAACTGAAGATTCACAGGTTACTAATCTGGATAATGCTGATGAGATGGAGTTGAGAGATGAGATCACTCCTGGCAAGCTGCTAAGTGGCTTGTCTGCTGAAAGAGACTGAATTCTAAGTGAAGTTAGCGTTCAAGCTGATTTGAATTGGCTCCTAAAGCAGAAGCTATAGAAGGGGCCCAGCACAGGGACAGCTTGCAATATTAGAGCTTGTCTCCACTACAGGCAGGATGGACGCTGCACCAATCAATCCACCAGGGTTAAATTTAGCAGGTCTATTGAAGACCCACGAAATCGACTGCCAAACACACTCCCATTGACTCCATTACTCCACCAGAATGAGAAGCTTAAGACAAGCTTCTCCCATCAACCCAGCATTGTTGGGGACAGGGCATCAGTTTATGTCCACCATTTTGATTTTTCCCTCTAAAAATGTTGGTCAGCTTCTGTCACCATCCCCTGCCTGAAAAGGGCAGGAAAAGGTAAAGGTGGGAAAAGTGGGGTCACATGACTCATCTGCCCAATGATAAGAGGGCTTATAAGGGGTGTTCACCTGCCCCTTAGGGCTCTCTACACGCTCTTGCTCTCTGTGCAACTCAGCAATGCTGGAGCGACAATCATTTCTAGGCCCCTTCAGGCAGCTAGGGGTAGGCTGTTTAGCTAGATAGACTGAGGTAGAAGCATGGTTGCTGCCACCACAGAGACTGGTAGTCTCCCACCTGAGTGTGGGTCTGGGACAGCCTTCTATGGTGCAGCTACCCTGTTTCCCACACCTGTAACAGTTGCTGGCAAAGGGCTTATTCATTTTAAGTTAGGGTGACTGCAGTAAGGCCAGGCAGCTAGATCTCTCAAACTTACACACCACACACACACACTTTTTTCATCATTCGTTTTCCTGTCCTTATACTGCACGCAGAATGACAAGTCAAGAAAGGAAGACAGAAGAGAGAAGACCTGTCACATGTCTAGCCTCCACCGCTCTGTCCTCTTTCCTCGAGTTCCCTTTCTCTGTCCTAGACATCACCAAAACATCATGATGGTGGTTAGATCCCCTATTATTTGTACTCCCCCTTCCCCCCCCCCAATTTTGATTATTTGCATTGTGGCTTCTGACTTCATGCCACTGTTTATTTAGGACATCCAGGATTTTGTGTTTATTCTTTAAATTCAGTGTTGTGTTAATAAAATAATAGTTGTTTCAGCCATTTTGTGTTGCACTTTACTAATACCCAATGACAGATACGCAGCGAGGATGGAGAGCCTGTGCCCGCAGACAAAGTTAAGTCCACATCTAACAGCATGATGTAAATACTGCAGGTAGTCGATGTAAGCTATGTCGACTCCAGGTATGTTATTCACAGAGCTAGAGTTCTATAACTAAGGTCAACTTTAGCCCACAGTGTAAACCTACATTAAGTGTGACATTTGCTGCTGCACATCTTTCTGTGCCATTCAGAGGTCTATTCATGTATGCTGAAGAGTTCTGTGTGAGTAATAAAACCTAAACTAGGTGTAATACAAAGCCAATGTAAGCAAAGGAAGAAAAAAGCAACAAAGAGTAAGAAATAGTAGTATGCAGGGTAGGAAACAACAAATATTAGAGAACTAAAAAGACTATCATGGGCCAGACTGCCATACCTTTACATGCGATCAACAGTGCCTTAGACACATTTTGAAGTGAAGGGTATTTCTTGTGGAGAAAGTAAGAGTACCCCAACCTGGCCCCCCATCAAGGAATGTAAAAAATTATAAAAGTAAACCAGAGAAACCGAGATTTTCCTCTAGTACTACAGAAACAAATGGTCTTTTTTTACTTTGTTATTTTTAACTGTAGAATAGAATTACATTATTTGCTTCGTGCTCTCCCACAGAAGGAGTAGAGGGTAGATGCCAGAAATAAATAAATTGGGGCAGGGGAGGGGGAGACAGAAAAATTTAAGATCCCTGGGATATACTACTTAAAAGCATGAAAGTATCATCCTTTTGTATAGATGTACTAGGGATGTTAAATTTAGATTAACAAACCAAATAGTCAATGGGATTTCATCAACTATTTGATTAGGGTATGTCTAGACTACAGAGTTTTTTCGAAAAAAAGTGGCTTTTCAAAAAACGTCACCTGCATCTAGACTGCTGTCGCGTTTTCACAGTTAAATCGAAAGAATGCGGCAGTTTTTTCGACAGCGGTAAACCTGCTTTTACGAGGAAGAATGCCTTTTTCAAAAGAGCTCTTTCGAGTGGACACAGGGGAGCAGTTTTTCAAAATGGCCTCTAGGAAAAACCCTGGTGGCCACTCCATCTACATCTGTCCTCTTATATGCCAATCTTGCACTAACCTGGCTCATGGGAGTTGCTTACCCATAAGGAGAGAAGTAACAAGCCCTGTGCACTATCAGAGACCGTTTTATGTTTTAACTAGCACTGTCAATTGATTAAAAAATACTGTGATTAACTGCACAATTAATTGTACTATAAACCAGTAATAGAATACATTGTCTTGAAATATTCTGGATGTTTTCTGTATTTTCAAATATATTGATTTCAAATACTACTCAGAACTAAATACAGTGCTCACTTTATATTTATATTTGATTACAGACATTTGTGCTGTAAAAAACAAATAGTATTTTTAATTCACCTCACATAAGTAATAAATACAATCTATACCACGAAAGTTGAACTTACAAATGTAGAATTATGTACAAAAAACTGCATTCAAAAATAAAGCAATGTAAAATTTTAGCACCTATAAGTCCATTCAGTAGTACTTCTTGTTCAAGCAGTCACTTGAACAAACACTTTTTTAAACATTTGCCAGATATAATGCTACCTGCTTCTTTTTAAAATGTAACCTGAAAGTAATCACATGGCACTTCTGTAGCTGGCATCACAAGATATTTGTGCCAGATGTGCTAGAGATTCATTATTTTATGCTTCAACCATCATCTCAGAGAATGTGTGCTGATCAGTTCTGCTTGATAATAATCCAAAGCAATGCGGACTAACATGCTCACTTTCATCATCATGAATATCCTGCTGGTGGCATCTTGATTTTCTCTGTTAGTGCTTTGAGTTCTGTACTTTTTGCATAGGAGTGTTGCTCTTAAGACTTTTTGATCCTCGTCCCCCTCAGATTTTAGAAAACACTTCAGAGTCTCAAACTTTCAGTGGAGTGCTAGAGCTACCTTCAGAAATCTCATTTGTACTTTTCTTAAAATCAAACACCACGTGCTGGGTCATCATGCAAGATTGCTATAACATGAAATAGATGGCAGAATGTGGGTAACACAAAATAGAGGCACACTATTCTCCCCCAAGGAGTTCAGTCAAAATATAATTAATACCTTTAAAAAAAAAATGAGCATCATCATCAGCATGGAAGCATACCCTCCAGAATGGTAACCAAAGCATGAAGGGGCATACAAGTGTTTATGGCACGTAATTATCTGCCATATAAATGCTTGCAATGCTGGCTATAAAAGTGTAATGCAAATGCCTGTTCTCAACTTGAAGTGACATTGTAAATAAGAAACTGGCAGCTTTATTTCTCATAACTGCAAAAAAAACTTGGTTGAGCAATTGGCTGAACAAGAAGTAGAACTGAATGGAACTGCAGGCTCTGAAGTTCTACACCATTTTGGTTTGGAGTGCAGCTATGTAACAAAAATCCCATTGGTAAGTTGCACGTTCATGATAGAGACTGTATCTATGTATGTGGTGAATTGCAAAATACCATTTCTTTTGTGCAAATATTCCTAATAAAATATAAAGTGAGTGCTGTACACTTTGTATTCTGTGTTGTAACTGAAGTCAATATATTTGAAACTGTAGAAAAACATCCAAAATATTTAATACATTTGTATCAGTATTCTTATCAGCATATAGTACAAAGAACTGTATAAACAAGTCATTTTAATAGGTACTGACTTCGCTGGCGCTTTTTATGTGGCCTGTTGTAAAATTAGGCAAATATCTAGATGAGCTGATGTTTGCCATGAAAGACCTCTACCTACCTACAGGGGCATATGTATCCTGGGTTGAGAGCCACTGTGTGAAGCTATGGCCCCATGATTATGCATATTGGAAAATAAAGCCATAGTGCTAACAATACAGATAAAATTTTAGATACATTCTTTGTCAGAAGGGGAAAGGAGGACTAAATAATTCCATATACAGGCAGTCCCCGGGTTACGTACAAGATAGGGACTGTAGGTTTGTTCTTAAGTTGAATCTGTATGTAAGTCGGAACTGGCGTCCAGATTCAGACACTGCTGAAACTGACCGCCAGTTCTGACTTACATACAGAATCAACTTAAGAACCCCAGGCGTCCCCAAGTCAGCTGCTGCTGAAACTGATCAGCAGCTGATTCCAGGAAGCCCGGGGCAGAGCAACTCTGCTGGCACCGGAGCAGCGAGAAAGCCCCGTTCGTAAGTGCGGATCCGACGTAAGTCGGATCCGCGTAAGTCGGGGACTGCCTGTATATGCAATAACATGTCACTTACTTTTGAGATATTTTCTGCAATCTGGTAGCTAAATATTTATTTAGTTTTAATTTATTTATTCTTCTTTGAAAACCATGTTCTTTCGAAATCAGTTCACCTTATCGATAATTTTAAGTTCTGCTAGTGATTAAATTTGTATCT